ACAGAAAATGTGTATTCATTCACATATTTCTTGAACCTCCAGTGGTTTCCTCTCTACAAGTTTCTCAACCACCGGACCGTCACAACCATCTTGCCAGTCCGTCATAATTCACGGTAACAAACAAAAACTGACAGAATATTCACATGCAAAACATAATGGTCTTTCTTTGTACTTGCATTTTAGTGATCCGTGACAGTTTAGAGAAGCAGCGAACTAGTCCATTGTATCGAAAAAGTTGAGAAATGCTTTATAACGTCGGACTTGTGCTAGTTTTTCTAATCCAACAAGTGTCTCATACAGAGTTTTTTCTCGGTAAGTAGGGTGTAAATTTATTAATAACTTCTATAATTGTCATCTTATGAGCTTTAAAAACAAATTATTATTGGTTTGCTATAGAAATTAATTTTCTTTTATTGCAAATTAACCTTACAAGAAACAAAATTAGCAAACAAAAAATGTATTTAGGTTTCTTTAATGTTAATAAGTAGTAATATTCGGTGTTGCCAGTTTGGTATAACAACTTGGCATCTTTTTGGCATTGTGATTTAAAAACTTATCCCATAATGCATCAAGTTAACAATACCTTTCTCAGCTTTGAGCCCGTGACTTTAAACAACAAATCAAACTTGTTGAGCTACATATCTGATAAAAGTATCTACTGTACTAAGAAAAAAAAAATCTGGCCAATTACTTCAAGAAAAATTGAATCATATTACACAAAGACTTTCTGTGTGTGTGTGTGTGAAAAAGTCATTCTTTGCAATATTAGTATTTTGTAGGGGGGGGGGGTAAGTGTCTGTTATATAGGTAAGCGTCAAATACCGGGAAATGGGCTCCTTGGATAAGTTCTTCATTGTTTAATCCATTCAATAGACTTGTGTTCATGAATTAAAGGTTTGGACTTTGTGACGGCCATTCTAATCGCTGGAGATCTCTTGAGCTTTCTTTCTTTGCCAAATAAGCTAGCAATTCCTTGTGAGAGTGTTTGATGTAACTACTTTATTAATATATGCGGCTTTGCCCAATCAGCTTCTTTCCAGAGGGTATAGCATGATGGATTAATATACTGTGGTAATTATGCTGGTTTCCATCAATTTTATAATGATGGCCAACATCATTAGCAGACCTTGCGCCCTAAACCATTACGGAGCTTCCTGCATGCTTGGCTATTAGCATAAGACACTCCTTCTGCAACCTCTTTGATTCTTTGGCGAGCATGAATATATCAACTGATTGTAACCGAACAATTCAAATTTGACATGTTTGTCCAAAGCATTTTCTGCCACAGTTCGAAAGACTAAGATGCAGGTTCTTTCGTAAAAGCTAGTCCCTTTGTAGTAAGAGTTTTCTCGCCGTTACTCTTTCCTAAAGGCCTCATTTTTGCAGCGTTCTTGGCATTGTTTTTATATCGTTCAATAGTGGCGGGATCCGTATGTTGCATCATATTGAATAATTTTATGTTTTGTTTTGCTTGCCACAATACTCACAAAAAAAAATGAGAGAAATAATTTTCCATGTAAAATGAATACGGGACACTAGCAGTAATTAGTGGGATTAACTGCAATATAGGTGTTACTTTTGTTTACGTATTTGTTTGCGACTCGTATGTTAATACAAACCCTTAAGCAATTTCATGCATAGATTAGAAAAATGCGCGTCAAAGCCGATGAAGTGGACCCTGTCGATAACATAGGCCTGCGAATTTGAACTTCATAAAATTATTTTGGTTTTAATAACGGATTTTCATAATTCAGCTATGCAGA